GGTGCTGTGGGAGCGAAAATAACTCATCAGAGGAGACTGGCCTTGGCTGAAGGGAACTTCAAAAACCCTTCATATATATTCAGTCCACAAAGAGCTGCCCCTCTACTCGCTTTTTGGACTGGTAATGGAGGAAATCCTGTCAAAGTCCTTCTTGGTAACTAAAGCAGGGAAGAGCAGGGGCAAGAACCTGCTCTGCACAGACTTGGGAATTGTGCACAGAGGGACAAAAGAAAATCTAGAAAGATAAACTCAAAACACAGTGTCAGACTCCTGAACTGAAGTATGCTAAGCTCACTGGTAGACGCCCTTATTCATCAAGTAAATTTTTCCTGTATGACTTTTTCCATTGATCTAAACACATTTTTAAATGCAGATATCCACATATATCTTAAAGAGAGAAAAACCTCAACTAGTACCATAACCTGGAAGAACAAGAAGCTTTTCAAAGTGAACGTATATCATAGATACATACATGAACATACATCAACACCACTGATGTGATTTAAATAGTTTTGTCTCTTTCTCTCTCKCGCAAACACATATGCCCGTGCATTTGTGTGCTGAACACGTTTGTCACTGTCTTGCTCCAACAAGACTGCTCCCTCTCAGATGGACTGAACTGCCTACGCTTTTGCCATCCCTGTTTTGTCCAGGGCAGCAAATACACTCAGAGTGCTGTTACTTAATAGCAGATCYATACACTGCCAATGTTGCTGGGTCATCCAATCTGATCTGAAGCCTCAAGGACATTTCTGTCCTGGACTTAGAAGGTAGAGTTTGCATGAATTTCATATCAATGCTAACTACAAGAAAATGAATGCTCCAACCTAAGCGGAACTGATAAAAACAAACAAGCAAAAACAGAAGCACAAAAAGTTGCTAAACAAAAGCAATAAATAGAAAGGTGGCATAGGAAAAGTGAGCTGGAAGAGCAGATCAAGGGTGAGAGTCAGAATGTCCCAGATACTTATCCAAGTTCTTCTGTTCCAGTGCTTTTTAGTATCAGCTCTGACAAACACACATGCAACAACTAGTTAAAAACATCAAGATACTGAACAGTGAACACAATACAGGGTTTTACAATCAACTATAAATGATTTTTTTTTTTCATTCTGAGAAATCATTTACCCATCTTTTCCTATTTAAAAGGATTACAAAACTTTGCCCCCCTTTCACTGGACATGTCTCACCTTATTTTTATACTTTTTCATTCAAGGAAAAAAAAAAAGAACATATATTCAAGAAATAGCAAGCAGGTAGAGAGATGGAGCCAGTATGTCTGTCTGTCCTCTATACCATATACTTTTATCCCATCTTTTAAATGYGACAAGCTAAAGGAGAACAAGAGGACAGTCACCACTTACGACGGTCATAACCCCATCCTTCTTGCGGGCAGAGAGCAGACATTGCTCTCTCGGGCACAGGTGACCTGCTCTACGAGTCTATCGGAGATGAAAGAACCAAATTATAAACTGCAACTACTTGGGAAAGCCACTAACATCCTAAAATATTAATCTGTGGACATAAAAAAACATAGGAAAATCTTAATTAAAATCTTGAAACATCCAGTAATTTGAGACATGTACATAAACAATTCTGATTTATCTTGGCAGTAGAATACAGCTGTTACATACAAGGTACAGCATTTGCTATAGCTAAAACTTTTAATAGTTTCACAAAGAGATGGAAAAATGCATTTTAGTATTTAATTCCTGTGGTTCTTAAGTACTCCAAATGTATTTAATTCTTGTAGTTCCTTAAGTACTCCAAATGTAGGAGATTGAACAAATTGTAATTTCATTCCATCCCAAAATTATAGTCTTTTCTCCTATATGAAAACGAGGATCTTTTTCATAATCGTCATAAGTGAAAACTATGCAGACGAAAAAAAAAAAAAAAATTAAAAAAAAAAAAAAAGAAGAAAAAGGAGATCCTCTCCCCTGGGACCAGTAGAGTTTAAACAGTGACCTATAATAATTATTCAAAAATTATTAAAATGAATGACTGGGAGTGCAATTCAGCTCTGTGTAAATTGAAAGATGAAAAGTCATTCCCTTAACTTTCAAAATGCGGCACAGATCTTGATCAAGCATGACTAGGAGCTACAATAAAAAAAAAAAGCTAGATTTCAAGCTTAACAATTGCCCTGTTTTCATCTCCTCACCTTTACATATTCTTTTGAATATGTTTGCATAAATATTTGAAAAGGACATTCCATTTGAAAACCCTCAGAACATTTTTAAAAGTCCTTTCACTGATCCCAATGAACTAAACTGCAACCTACATTCCCTTGTATATGCTACCTTAATATGATATTCTAGAAGAAGCTGTTCTTGCTTTACTCTTTTTCTCCCTGTTATTGAAGGATTGTGCATGCCACCAGGAGCAATGTAAAACTGTTCCTCAAAAGAGGAAGCTAAATAAAAATTACAACTCAAGATGATGTGTCAAAACAACCAGGCAGGTTTGTGTGCTGCCATCCATTTAAACTCATCTAYTTTAGAGATGAAGGTACTTTGCAGGAGTGAAACTTGTTGTTTGGGCCTGAAACTGCAGTCTTTTTTCATCCCTCTGTACTGTCTCATTGAAATCCCACACAGACACTAGTACTAATTCCCAAACTGTGATCTGAAAAGGACAGAGAGCCCATAGGGCCATGATGGAGAGCAGCTCATCTGTGGAAGGGGAYGACAAAAACAGTTCAGTAAGATGAGAAAAAAAATGTTGACCAAGAATATTCTTTGACGCGGCAAATGTGAGAATTAATGAACGAGGATATTTAATTAGGCAGTGCAGGAGTAACTTGGCTAGGAATACACAAGATCAAAGCTTCAAAGGGTAAAGYGGTGCATCATTTAGTGCTATATTCCAAATAACACTGTGGTATCTGAAAATATAAGTGAACTGGTAGGTGTTACCCACAGAAGGCTAACAGCTCACCCACAAAACAGTAGTTGTTTGCCCTCATAACAAGAGACTAACCTGAGATTTCAGGCCTTTCAGCTTTTCACCCATCTCTCTAGGTGGCAGCAGCCAATTTTTCATCCTTTTACAATTCCAGCTTGTAAAGCTATAAAAGGACAAAGGAAGAGGAGAGGGCTGCTGATATCAGCCTTATACTATGTATTCCCTCCAAGCATCGTCTCTAGGCTTGGCCGCTCGGGGAGGAGAAGGTGGCTGTGCCTGGATTTCATGCTGCAATCTACATCCTTTTATACTGAAAAAGGGGAGCAAGTTTGTTACTATTGTTCCTATTTAGTCAGTTGGCAACTCCAACTCCTGCCCTGCCATCTGATTTGGGTTTGGTCATCTCCTACAGAGGGTGAGTAAACGACACAAGAACGACTGCAAGGGCATCTGCTCATCAAGTCACTGATGACAGCTGGATAGGAAACAAACACCCTTCTCTTCACCACCTGTGTACATCTTCACCAAGCACTCAGTCTATGCATGTATTCTCATTTTAATCTCCGTTACCTGTCATTCACACAGATGTCTTCTCCAATGCACTTCATACTGGTAAACACCTTGCAAAAGCACTTGTGGCTCGGTAAGAAAGACAACTGATTAGCTGGTGGAGCAGCAAGAATCTCTCTTTGCATACAGCTTCTCTGGTACAGCCCCCAACTTCTGTATTTCTAGAGCTACTAAGAAGAAAAATACTTAAACGTTTTCTTTTTTTATTATTTATTTTTAGAAAAAAGATCACAATGTCGGTAGGAGGTTTTAGTGAATAATTTTTTGACTTGCAAAAGCTGAAGGAGGATTCAAGAGTCTGGTTAGCTAAAAACTAGTTGAAGCTCCTCCTGTCCCCCCTTCTATCCCTGACAAACACTGTCCTATTTCTTGTTTTCTCTGTACTTAGCACTGATATACCTGTTCATTCATATATGTAAACAGTACATTTTATTTGTTTGTATTTACATATATCAAATGTTTTATATATAAAACACTCCGCCACCACTGAACATACTTAAAAGATTTTAACTTTTTTTGCTAAAATAAAAATGGGGCAAAATAGGTTTACAAATGAATTCCATAACAAAAGACTAAAATCGGTGTAAATATTCTTGGCATAAGCCAAGAAACATATGTAAGAAATTCTTAAATGAATTATCCTTGGCATACATTCATCTCTGAATGTAGATATTCATAGCTTCGATTTATCCAAATTCATAATGCTTTCTAGGATCTTCCATGAAATGTCATCTTTCTCTAGAACTCTCCCAAGTGGCTAAAGCACTTTACTAAGACACATACTGTAAAAGTGCATGAGAATTAGCAACAGTCAGAGTGAAAGCCCACAGAACTGGTCAGGCTCTTCCTTCCAGACAGCACTAGTTTTTATTCCAGACTTAGTCCTTTAACTAATATAGGTGAGCAGTTTCCCATGTTTCTGCAGATCCTGGAAACTTTAGGCACAGCAAAGCTCCTAGGTGATTTCATTGAGGATACAACCATGGCTCCTTTCTTCCTCAAGGCAATCCTTCACAAGTCCAAAAGTACTCATCACACATTTGTTGTTTATGCTGTCCAGTGGATGCTTGTGGAGTGAGGCTGGGTTCTTCCCGTCACTCTTGGCATTATGTCCTTCTGAGCTGCAGTGCTGCTTCTGCCTTCTCAGCTCATACATTATAAACCTTCCGCATTCGAACTATCAATTTATTTTCTGCTAAGCTTCTGGTCTGAAGATGCTAATCCCCACTCCCCAGTACTTCATTCACGACCGCTCAGACAACTGCCAAGTATCAATCTCACAAGATGTACAAAATTCAGTTATTTTTCTAGTTTGTAAATCTTTCTTTTTCCCCACATTTGTTTGGCTAGTATTTTTCCACATCCAACCAACTCAGCACATGCTAAGCAGGAAGAAGTGCCAGAAAGGCTGAAGGATCTATATATGCTAATTTGGATGTTCTGAATCTGTACCAGCCAGACGCAATGAAAAAAAATGCAAAGACAAAACTCCAAAATCTTGTCTTTTATATAATGAAAAACAAATATTATTTTGCTTAGTGGCTGATCCAGGCAGCTACACAGATCATATCAACGGCAACCCACTAAGATCCATTATCCTATTCACACACAGTGAACTRTATTATCCGATGAATCCACATTCTTCCCTAGGTAATATTTTGCTTTCAGGTGTCCACTGCATTTACCAAGTTGTTTTGGGGTTGTTTTTGATTAAAAAATAAAATAAAAAACAAAACATTCTTTAMTTTTAAATAAAGATGTAAGAAAGTCTTGGTACATTTTGGTACATTCCTTTCATACAGGATATTAAAAAAAAATGCTTGCATTTCCTAAAAGCAATGGCATAACAGAACATTAACTACTTACTGTTTTTGGAGAGATCAGGCAAAGTTAAACATACTGAATGCACTTGAGGCACACCCAAAGGTCATGGGAGTAAAGGAAAGAATGTCAAGGCACAACATATTTCTACACTCCTGTCATTAAGGCCAATATTAGTGTGCAATACTGCTTCACAGGGCTAACCATACAGAACTACTCAGGTCTTTTAAGCAACACTCCCATAGGTGCTTCAAATAAGGACTGATCTTCAGACTCTGTTGTTTATATTATACTTTTTGGTTTCCTTTTTTTTTCCTTTTTCTTTTTTTTTTCTTTTTTTAAGGCAGAAAGTGAGCTCTCTATCCAGTTTTAATGGTCTGTTCTTCATCATTTTTTCCTTGATTTAGTTCTCCAGAAGCGTGCGCTGTACTAAAATGGGAAAAGACATTAAGATAATTATAGTATCTTAGTAAGTATTGTAAGAATTCACCCAATACAATATATATTGACAGAACAGTAGTATTTGGAACTGAGAGGTTAATTCAGGTAGGCAGAGGCTTAATCCTGCTTAGCACGTGTCTTGCCTAACAAGGGATATTACCTTCTAGAATTCTTGCTCAAATAACTTCATCCTACTAGATGTATCTAGCTATATATGCTTGCTGTTTGTATAGCTCAACGTGCAGTTTCAGAGATGCCTTTCCCMTTTTGCAAAAGCAAAAGTTAAGTTGCATATCGGCTGTATATCTGATGAAAATAGTATATTACTGAAAGAATATCCTAGTGAGGGTTAGCCACACTTTCAGGAAGTCCAAGAAAAGTCTMTATACAATTTTAAAAATTAACACAAGCTTGTTGTGTCATGCCATCTCACTGAGGCAACACATGCTACACAACTTCATCRCTGCTACAAAGTCATATGTAGACACCTGACTCCCAAAACTTMGATCAAGAGCAGCAACACGCTGACTATAGTTTACACCCATTTCTTGACTCAAAACATGCTCATGTCTGCCTGAAAAATATAGTATAGATATGAAATTTGGAATGCAACACTTCAATAGGTAGGGAGGAATAATTAGTTAATGTAACATATCAGGCTTGACTTTATTAGTTAAAATTAAAGTCTGCATCATCTGGTTGGGAATTCTGATGAAAACTGCAGCCAAAAAGTTTAGCATATCCTGAATGCAGCAAATGTGTTATCTGTCTTTGGTAGAGTCTTTGAACCTCTCGTGCTTGCTTCGCTGTCACACGGCTGCATTGAGGTTATGCTCATGTCTATCACGGTCAGAAAACTTCAGCATGATGTGGCTTTGCTTCTCCCCTTTTTAGCAATCACRAAGTCTAGAAAGCAAAGTTTTTACCTATTTTGTTTCAGAAATTCTCCAAAGATATCTATGGCTTTCCCACAGTTCCATCAGCTGTTCTACCAGCTCASTACCCKAGACAGTCATAGCTGCTCTAAACTAGCAAGAATGAGGTTGKKTTTTKTTTGTTTGTTTTAGAACTCKTTCTTCTGCTATAACAACTGTAGAAAGATGTTATTTGATAATTTCATAAAAGAATCGTGAATTGAGTGTTGCCTCTGTTGTGAACAGAGAACATGTTAMAATATATGCTAGTAAGTTCACCAAGTTCAGTCTTCCTTGCCTCCAATAAGTTTTATCTTCGTTCAAACACTGTTAACCTTTTCTTAATGTGCATTCTTGCAGAGTTCTGTATGGGTTTATGACCAAGCAATATCAGATTCCTGTGAGACTCAGCACACACTAATAAAACACCTGTCAACTAACTACAGTTATGTATCACACTAAATGAGGAGTCTTGTGTTCTTGTCTTTAATAAAACTTGCACAAAGAAAATTCCTATTTTCCTTCTCTAAGTTCCTGTATTTCAGGGCCTCTTAGGATTATAAACCCATGTGGTCAAAGAAGAAAAATCACAGAATAATGTCCAAATAATCAGAACTGAAATCTTGATTCAGTTGACAAACTCAGTTTACAAGTTTTGTTTAAGAAAAAGATATGGTGCATTTTCTCCACTGGCTTTATTGACATTAAAGTAAACTTAGTAGGATCACCACCAAAAATATTGCTCTTCAATCTAGATTATTCTCTTACCAGGTGGCTCAGATTGTGCTCCACGATGACTTTCCATATTCACATTCTCTTGATCTGCTGAGAAAAAAAGATATTTAATATACGCATTCTCTTCACTTGAAAGTTGTTGATTAGCCTAGATAATCTAGTAGGAGAGAAGGAACAGAACTGACAAAAACAGGGCTACTCAACCTAGATGTTTCCCTGCTAYTGCCTACATAATTTCGTCATGCATCGTAGACAGCATGCATGTCAGTTTTCACTGATGTCAGTTCACAGATGTCAATGTCTGTCTGGATGTGCTGCTCTATGCTCTCCCTTCTCCAACCACTCAGGAAGACTGGAAAGGTTTACACATAAACAAAGCTTATAGCCCACCTATTAGTCACAGTACTCTAAGTTCTCTGATCCAAAACACATCATACTTATGGGAAAAAGAAGTGGACAGCAGGCAAGACTGCTACAGAATAATGATCATTTGGGGATGGATATCCTGGTAGTTGTCATAGTTGGTATGCAGGCAATTTTATAAAACATAAACTGAAGATTTTAAATATAGAAATGACATGTTATTCTCCAGGAAAAGTAAATCCTCCTGCAGTCGCTCCTGCTCAGTTTCTAGCAGGACGTGGTTTTTAATGAACATAGAGACTTAAATCAGTCTGGTTCTGAAGGTCTAAATTTTGGGCTGGACAATCYCAAGTCTTTTTCTTTTTATTATTATTTAATTAGTAAAAGAGGTTATTCCATGTGAATATCAATTTGCTACTAAAATTATGTGACTTATAAAATACATTTTGAGGTCCCATGTAAAATAAAATAAACAAAGAGAACAGTTCTATAAAAAGTGAAAAGAAATACTTTAGAAATCTTACCGCTTTGTTTGAAACACAGTTTCTTCTTCTGGTAAGCAATGAAGCTAGATACTGCTCCAATTACAGTAGCAGCCACAGCACTTATAATTCCAGCAATCGCTCCCTGCGAAGCTGAAAAGAAGAAGTTTACATTTATTTTTTAGCACTGAAAGTGATGTCAGACTTGAATTGTCTCAAAGTAAAGCTCCAGAATACTTATAAAATAAAAAACAGATAATAAGTGTAGTGATCAACTTTATCCTATCTTTAAGGATAATGAAAATAAATCCTCTCATTTTATAATCATTTCTTCATAATGTTTATTGTTAAGTAACTGGAAACTTTCCTTTTAGTTTAGTGTAAGTTACACTAATGATTAAGACAATGTTACCCTTTTACAGCCAGCTCCAACTTGCAGCATGCTGTATGCAATCACTGCACCAGCATCTCTGAGATGTTATCATCAACTCATGTTATCAGCTGTGAGTTATTTGAAATATGAAGATCTTAAAACAGTTCTGAAAGCAGAGCCTGAAGRTAAGCACTCTAGATTGCATAAAATTCAAAAAGCTGAAGCACAAGTTGCCAGCAATAAGCATACTATTAGAATATTARCAATGCAGACAACCATTTCTAAATCTTGTTTTTTTTTTTTTAAAAAAAGCTTCAGATGTTTTAGTATCTTTAAGAGTTGTAGACACCATACATAAACAGAAATCCATGAATTTACCCTCAGATTCTCCACCATTATTCAGATTTGCATCATTTTGTCCTGCAAAATGAACAAAAGCTTTAGTTTTTCCATTTCTGAAGAACAGTGCTTTCACAACTTTTTGTCATTGGATCATGCAAAACAAGAAGTCACTTGCTAAATTTATTTAAATTTATTAAAAATATATATATAATGGATATAATTACATGCATATGTAATTATAAGCTCTAAGCTCTCCTGGCATTCTAATTTTCTTTTTGGAAGCATAACTCATACCAATGCCAGCTCAGCCTCAAGTGCTCAGCAGTCCTACAACAAGGGCAGCACGTGTGTGAAATCTGATTTAATCAAGTTGCCTACTTGTATTATTAGTAGTACTGCTGCTATTGCTGCAGGAGTGCACGCAGTGTAACCGACTGTGCAGACCRGTACTAATGAGGCTAAATCTGCAGTTCCAACAGTCACACTCACACTGTGCTGCACCATAATATTTACACACAGCAGGTCGATCAGAATGATGCTGGTGATGTTGCTAAGCTCCAACATGGTTTTGATTTCTCACTGCAGGAATATCCTATGCCCCTTGTGAGACACAAGATGGAGGGCCAATCCCTCCACGTTGAAGGCCCATCCTAACCACGTCCTATAAGCAACAGAGAGTACTCTGAAGAAGATCCAAAAAGAACGCCTGGATCACTTACAAAGCTGTTTGTATGGTGGATTTTGAAATAAGTACCACCTGCATATCTCAATTTAGAAAGCAAAMCAAAAATCATTCTTGGCACAGCAGGAAGAATCACTGATGGCTCCAGGATCAGCTTTACTTCTTAGTCATCTGCCTTTTTTGACAGAGACAGAAAACATGTTACTTTTGAACTGCAAACTATGTTCCAATGTTTCAGATAGAGAAGCAAAGGCCTTACAAGTTAGACATGTTAATCTGTTCACAATCAAGCTTTTATCAAGAGGTCTGACAGACACAGGATCAGTAAGATGGTAGCATCAGTATTACCATTGCTGCCACCACCATCTCGTCCTCTTGGTAAACTGCCGTCATAGAGATCGGAATCATCAAAGTTGCCTACAGAAATAAAAATAAAATTGGTTTACATGTTCTAACTTCAGTGAAAAGGCATCTCAGGACACATACTGTAAATTTTTCGTTCAGTTGACTCTCAAAGTGTTTTAGGTCAGTGTCATATTCAACTTCCGAAGCCTCCCAAGTCTCTTCAGCTCAGCACTACCACACTGCAGGTTTACCAGCATTGCTGACTTTGGGTTTCCTGAACAACTAAACAGACTGGTCTCCAAGAGCAGGATTTATACTGTACTAGCACAGACTTAACAAGCATTAACCTTTGCAGGCTACTTTACTGAAATGTCCCAAGTCTCATTCTCTTGCTAAAGCAGAGAAAGGACATGAACAGAGAGAGCACATTTCTGTTCAAGGCTACAGCTGTGAATGCTTCTCCCGAGCCAGGTTTCTGAGTCACAACTCAGAACATGTGCAACACAACCTGCAACATGTGCAACATCATAGCTAGAMGGAGTTTAGCGTGCTACAGTCCAGGGGCTGAAGCATTTGCTTGGGAAATGGAAAAAGACACAGGTTAGACTACATGATCTCTAGAGATCCCTTCCAGTTTTAACCATTCTGTGATTCTGTTTAATTCCCTCCTTTGATTTACTGCAGGACATTAAACCAGTTCCTCTCCTTTTCCACTGTCTCATGGTACTTGGAGTTTTCCTCCTTCAATAAGAGAATGTTCAGTTCAAGCAAAGCAATAGTGTTTCAAACACTATATGAGTTTTGTTATACTATTACATTGCTGAGTTTTACTATTCTATTACATTATTATAAGCTAGAAGCATCACATTAAAGGATGCTTTAGTTGTGCAGTATAAGCACTGCACATCAAAGACCTGAATTCAAGTATCTGCTGCAAATCAAGTAGGGGAAGGCACAAGAAACCAGGACTCGCATTCCAGGAAACGACTCTAACCACCACATTCCTGGATAATGGCATCATAACTACAGCTCTCTGCGTTTGCTTTGTTGGAAGTTAGGCAAAGACAGAGAAGAACCTTAAAAGCCCAACAGGCAGGGAAAGATATGTATTTTAAGCCTACTTTTCAAATAGGAAAATAATCTATTTCTTAATTTGGGGCCTTAAAAAAATATAAAATAACAACCCTTTAAGATCAAGATGTTTTAAGAAGACAAGTCATGGGTAGTTTCTTCTTTAGCAAGACTAGAAGAGATTCAGCTTGTAAAGATGAAAGTCACTGATTTTTTGAATTTTTGTTCAAAAAACAGACTTCACATGTTTTAGGATCTTTAAGACATGCAGACACCATAAATAGAAATCTGTGCATTTACCCCCAGGTTTTCCATCACCCTTCGGATCTAAGTCCTTTCGTCCTGCAAAACGAACAAAAGCTTTAGTTTTAGCATTTCTACACAACAGTGCTTTCACAACTTTCTCCTCAATGGATCATGCAAAACAAGAAGCCACCTGCTAATGCAAATTTATCTTAAAAATTTACGTAATGGATATATTTGCATCCATATAATTCTAAGTTTTCTGGCTCTCAAATTTTCTCTTTCCAAAGCACTGCCCATACTAATGTCGACTTTAGCCTTAAGTGCTCATTACTCTACATCATGAGGGTAGCACACATGTGAAGTCTGATTTAATCAAAATTCCCGCCACCATAGAAAAATATTCAGTGGAGAAGAACTACAAATAAATCCTCAGCTGTATTACCCATGGAACCAATTATCTTGTCCTTAAATCCCAGCCTTATTTAGTTAGACTAAACTACCTTTAACCTACTGCAAACTACCTTTGCAATTCTTCTAGCAAATAAGACAAAAGTTCTGTAAATCCTTTACTGTCAGTATGGAATTTGCTCAACTCCCTCAAACAGGAACCTCTGCAGATCAAAACACAGTGCAGGACCCAGCCAATGCTACCTATTCCTGCTAAGTTCCAAGTTTCTGTTCCAAAAGAACATGGAAAGGTGAAAGAAACTGAAAGGTTACAGCAACCTTTGTCCAGGAAAAGTCCATCTGAAGAAGTCAGTAACAACTAAGACAATTTAATCCAGAACACAGCACTTCAAACTAATTCTGATCTGGAAATATTAAAAATGCAGTAGTGTACAGATACAGATATGCAAATACCACTTGCATATCTCAATTTAAAAAGCAAAACAAAAATCATCCTTAGCATAGCAGGAAAAATCATTGATGGCTTTACCATCAAGGTTTTATCTAAAGGTCTGATGACCACAGGATCAATAAGAAACACCACCATTATCATTGCTCCTCTTGCCAAACTGCCAACATACAGACCTGAATCATCAACGTTGTCAACTTCAATAAAAATAATGTTGCTTTATCATTCAGTGAAAAGACATCTCAAGATACATGATGAAGTGAAATTTCCTTTAAACCTTCAGTTGAAACTGTATTTTAGGTCAGTATCATAGCCAGGGCACACTGAACTTTTAAAGTCTTCCCAAAAAAAGCAAACTATACATTTACTTTGAAATAGATTAGGAAATCTTAATTGGACTACTACAAAGAAATACTTCTCTAGTGTTCAGAAATTCTTGTTAGGACAGTCTTACCAGTGTCTCCAGGATGTGCAGGTAGATCTTGGCTGGGGTCAACTATAGACAAATGGAGGCAGAATAAAGTGACCAAAGTTTATATTACTAAGAGACCAAAAGAACAGCTTTGCAAGACTATCTGACCTAAAAAACGCTATCTATCTTTCTCACCTCATATTCCATTCCTTCTGCAAGCCAATGCTGTATTTTGCTTGGTTAATTTAGGTTTAACTTTAGGTCAAACTGTGCTTTATATTGATATTAACAGTGTTTCTGCTATGCCAACTTGTTATATCTTGTTATACCTGAATATATACAGTACATTTCACTAATTTTTACCTACCATTTACCAGTCTGATTTCAAAGGTTAAACTTCAAAAAAAAAAAAATCTATCAGGAATTGATTGCTTGTTTGTTTCCTCTTATAAATCTACTATCACTACTTATAAACTAAATCACTATCAAAAAAAAGCCCTAAAACACTAAAACAACAGAAAAGAATAAGATCCACCTTGTAAAACTACAAAATATGTTCCCCCAAATACCATTTCATTTAGCTTGCCATTTAAGAACTCTTATTAAACCTCTCTAAACTGTTTGCTCACAGTATTGGTTGCACTTTTCAAAATAAATCATCAGCATAATTTTTCTACACCTGTACCTTTACCAACAACTAACCAATTTAGTCCCTCACTGCTTCTAAACGCTATTTCTTGATGTTACCCGACCTTGTCTTCTCCTAGCCCTAGCACAAGTTTGATCTGTTCTCCTTAGGCTCTTCTGCCTATTCAAGGTAGAAAAGCAGGCATCTCCACAGCACAATTCCAAGTTAGGTTTGGCATCCCCTCAAGGATGGTCTCCCTTCACTTACCTTAATCACCTGACTCAACGACTCAACAGTTTCTGAACTAGTCAATTCTGTTCTCAAGAATTTCAGCATTTGGAAACCAACTGCTTTAAAAGAGACAAAACTTCAAAGGGTTTCTACAGTTTCTGTTGCTCCTTACACTACTAAGCTGAAAGACATCAAAAAGAGCACATATCCTCAAATTATTTCAAATGATTAAGGTTTCCTCAGGCAAGTAAAATAACTTCCTGGGAAGGTAGTGTTCATACTCAAAAACTGTCTCTGTAAGTAATGGTTTATGGAATTAGTGCCATCTAGTGAAGCTACAGCAATGAAACACTGAAGTGGAAGTAGGACTTGGATAAAAAAGATATGCAAAATACTTTTGTGATCCAGACCCTTGAAATGAAGGCATATAAACATTACCGAGGTGCAATTATTTCTMACTGTTGTTTGCTACCTTAATTAACTCAGTGCTCATTGCACCAAGTACCACTGCACATTATCTAGGAAAGTATACGTACCAGGAGAAAGGGCATCTTCCAGGTTAAAGTAATCTACAAAGAAGAAAAATTTTAAGTGCAATATGAGAACTGAAATAGTTTTAGACTATTTCTACACAAAACACATCTCACAATGTTTTCACCAAGAACATTATTTCACCAAGAACACACAGTTCTTGGGCACCCTGAGCAAGTTTGTGGACGATATGAAGCTGGGTGGAGTGGCCAACACTCCAGAGGGCTGTGCTGCCATCCAGAGGGACCTGGACAGGCTGGAGAGCTGGGCAGAGAGGAACCTTATGAGGTTCAATAAGGACAAGTGCAGGGTCCTGCACGTGGGGAGGAATAATCCCAGGTACCAGTACAGATTAGGGGTCGACCTGCTGGAGAGCAGCTCCACGGAGAGGGACCTAGGAGTCCTGGTTGACACCAAGTTAACCATGAGTGAGCAGTGTGCCCTCGTGGCCAAGAAGGCCAATGGGCTCCTGGCTGCATCAGGAGGAGTGTTGCCAGCAGGTCAAGGGAGGGGATCCTGCCCCTCTCCTCAGCTCTGGTGAGGCCGCACCTGGAGTACTGTGTGCGGAGAGCAACAAAGATGATTAAGTGACTGAAACATCTACCTCATCAGGAAAAGACTAAGTGAGCTGAGCCTGTTTAGTCTAAAGAATACTGAGGGGGTCTTATCAATATGTATAATTATCTGAAAGATGAATGTAGGGAGGAAGAGACTAAACTCTTCTCAGTGGTAGCCAGTGACAGGACAGGAGGCAATGAGTGTAAATTGAAACACAGGCAGTTCCATCTCCATATAAGGAAGAACTTCCCTCCTGTGAGGGTGACAGAGCCCTGGAACAGGCTGCCCAGGAAGGTTGTGGAGTCTCCTTCTCCGGAGATCTTCCAAATCCTCCTGGATGTCACCCTGTGCCCTGTGCTCTGGGTGTCCCTGCTTCAGCAAGGGGATTGATCTAGATGATCTCTAGAGGTCCCTTCCAACCTCAACCATTCTGGGATTCTGGGATGCTCATTAAACAGTAGCCAGTAATAGAGCATCACAGTGTTGCTAGGGATTATCCACCAAACTTTTGATGATCATGGATCATCCTCAGGCCCAACTCAAGATAAGCAAGCTCAAAACATGAAGACTGAAACACAACAGAAGGGATTTTCGAAGGGTCAGTGAGCTAGTGAAACCACAGAATAACTTTTTGAAAACACAAGCAAAAGATCTCAAAAAGCAGAAATCTTTTCATGACTACAGAATCATTCCACTTTACAGAAATATCACAATGTAATGTGGCAGTAAATTGAAAGATGCAAGCTCTCAAATCTGCATGAACAATTACATTTGATTTACAGAAAGTAACATTAGCAAGCAACTAGAGCTCACCATCAGAAACTGCTGGCTTCTGGGGCACAGAAGGTTTCTTTGTAGGTTCTGTCAGTTAGGGAAATAAAAGTATAAGTACACTGTAAGAAGACACCTGGAGGCCAAATTTAACACCAARATTTTTTTTTCTCCCACTTAACAGCAAGTCCTGAGTCTTCCCCAAGACAAATCTCAGTTCTACATGCTCAACACTTCGACATACAAATAGTTGAATTGTCCCACTGAAGTTTAAACAAATGGTATGTCGGGAAGGTGCCATACTAGGTCTTGTAATATTCAGAAACAAATAGTCAAATAAGTCAAAAGAGTAGCCACTACTCCCCCACAGTCCCCAAAATTTACAAGAGTGTAATACTTGCCCAGAGCATCTTCTAAGTTGAAGTCATCTATGTTACCTATAAAAAATGAAAACACCACCACAGTAAGAACATTGTTCTTTCCTGTTTCAAATAAGCATTGATTACAATCATAAACATGTTTGTCATCTTCTTAGAGGAACGTTTCCTTTTCTGAATGTAACATCATTTCCCAGAATGACGTTTTCACTCAGATATCCTCTGCATCTCCAGATAATCTCCCCTCTCACACCCAACTCTTTAGGGAAAAAAAAAAAAAAAAAGAGCTAAAAAATGACTTTACAGGAAACATCCAACGAGACAGAACATATATTCATATTGCCAGTGAAATGCTTTCTTTCTTTATTCTTACCATTGTTAATGTATGCATTTTAAACATCTTTGTTTGCATAATGTTTCCAAGTCTTTCTTCTGCTCAACTACAAATGAGCAGGAGCACAGCCCCAGTTCACAGGGATTCACTAGATCCAACTGCGCCTCAGAGCACAGAAGCTAGCATGAAAGTTTTATCATCACAAACTGTATATAATCTTTGCATTAAAAATAAATTTTCATAGTTTTAAGACTTACCTTCTCCCCTCACAAAGTTTAGCAAAGTTTAGTGGTTAACTACTAGTATAAGTGATCTTGGGCAGGCTCTTGAACTTCCTAAAGGACACCTAAGTGCACTATCTCCACTATGGCTTCTTCATTCCAGGAAGATTAAGTTTCCATTTTAGATCTTGCAAAAAACCTTTTTTTCTCTTATTATGTTAGGTCAACTGGTAAAGCTACCCCTGYTCACCCAAGCCAATTACAACAGGATGGCCCAATAAATTCATGATACACAGTGGTTTCATAGCATGAATGTCATAGCATGAAYAGTTACAGTACCATGATCTCAGCAGCAAGGGACTGTAAGCTAAACAGACACCACCTGCTTGGGATACTTCTGTCAGTTCACCATTCCTACTTTCACTGAAGCTTATGGGTAAAACCAGCCATTCTGTATAAAGACACAAATATGCTGCTCCTCATCCAAAAAGGCTGCCAGAATTTCAAGCCTACTCAATATCTAGCCAGTCAGATGAAAATTTAATTCTAAACACAGCTATCTTGACACATAAGATACACATACAAAGCCCTCATGTTTCCCACTTTTCCTCTAAGAAGGGAGCTACAGAAGCAGCTTCACGACGTCCTTCACAACTAATCAATGTCAAGTCTGAAGAGGAAAATAGAAAAATAATGACAACAAAAAAAGCAACCACAAGCAGAATAATCTTGTCACATACATAACAGGCGCAGTCATGACAAAGGTAAGTCTTGAGTCTAATTCCAGGAATGGGCGATGCTCATATACATGGATGATAAAATGTTTCGTCTTAGCTGAGGTCGACACTGAAATCTCTTTCCTTCTCAGAAAATTGCACTTCCAACATTTGTTTTTGTTTCTTTTTCCTCCAGAGCAGAAACATAACTAGGATTTTTATTTTATTTCAATGTAGATGTAAAGAATGACAAGTGGAAAAAAAGAATACTTCAAGAAAGCTTCCAATTTTCTGAAATATCCTTCAAATTAATCTTGAGTCCAAAATCTGGAAGAGTAGGCTTCTGCTTAGCCCATGCTGCAACATTACAACACTTGAATCAACCACTACTTTGCTCACAGCCAAGTGATGAGGCCGAGGCAGTGACTCGCTTCCCATGAAGGCACAGGAAAAGGCATCAGCAATCATGGCTTTATCAAGCTGCATGAGCACAGAATGATTAGGTCATTAGTTAAATACCCTGGGTAGATAGCAAGAAGGCATTTTTATGGGTTTTCTTTGYTGAGGATAGAGACCATGAGCGCTTTTAGATGCTTAGCACAAGAAAATTTGTTTCACAGAATGCAAAATATTTGCAAGTCATTCAATTGAAACCTACATCATCCTGCAATAACATCTCAAAAACTTCGATAAAAAGGGTAGTTGCTGGATCCATATCTCAATTACCTCTGTTGAAGTTCTCTCACTGGTGAGAGGTCATCTCACCAGTCGACCTCTTCAGGCTACACCAAGTAATTTCCATATTAACAGGCAAGAAAAAGATTAAAACATTCAGAAGAGGGAAATCTTAAAATGCATTTATACAGTTGTTCCTTAGATCTGAATTACGGTTTTGTTTTTTGGGGCGTTTTTTTTTTCCCTCTCAAGTTTTCCTCATACATCTTTCCGACAACACTTCTCCCAGAAGGAATGCCCAAGGCAGGATCTGCGCAGATATTCGCTAGTCTAAGAAGRGCAACAGAAGAACCTGTTGAAGAGGCAGGTTTTTACTCTAAAAACACACCACCAGAGAGGCGAGCAGAGGGCAGAGCATCTCCATCTGTTAATGCCATCTGTTAACAACATCTGCAGTAAGCTTAAAGATAGAGCAGATCAATGAGCTGGCAGGCACGTTTGAAGAGAAATACTCCTTTCTAGAAGGATGGAAARAGGGAAGGAACAAGCAGACATGTTCAGCAACAAGCATGCACATTCAGCATTATGCTTTGCTGCAGCCCAAATTTTATTTGGAACAGSAAAGAAGCTACTGCAAGAATGTCCCATTGGCACGATGGAAAGYAGTTTGAGAATCCCCGGTGGTTTCAACTGCAATAATTTCTCTCAAGAGGAAGAAAGCAGTATGAAAAAGTGAATATTTATGACACTTATTCTAAGGGATTGTTTCTGCATGCCATGTTCCTGCAGAAATCATCTAGGAAGACACTGCTGATGGYTAATTTCACACAGAATCTGCTTTGAGAAGGCAATGCTACTTAATAAAGAAAAATTCATCCTGTATCATCTAGAATTACTTGACAATCTGCAACCACAATTTTTCATTCCATGCAACCAATGTCAAGCTTTTCAAAAATATAATTTTACATCAATAACAGGTGAAGGAAAAATCTAACCTGTGAACCTCATTACAACAATATGTATTGTGCAGCACCTGCATTCCACTACAATAACCTGTAATCCGAGGAGCTAAAAGCTATTCAAGAGAACCATCTAACTACGGAAAGAGAAGTCCCTTGCAGCAACCCGTTATGCTCKTACAGATATTAGTCTGCTATGGTATTAGTCATATTTACAAACCTCTACAAAAGCTGACATGAGCTTTGCATTAGGGGAGTTCCTCCATTGGCTGTAAATATGGCAACACACCAAGAAAACAGAGCTGCAATGAGTCACCATAAACATAACTGTTACTTGAGCAACTTTCTCCTTGAATTTTGTTTTCTTAAAATATTGGTACTGTTATACCTGCCATTCCTTCAGCAGCTAATTACTTCTGGTCTTTCCCTCTGCCTAGATGCTCATTTTCACCAGAGCGGGGGGAAAAAAATAGTTGTTACTAATGAGGCCTCTCGTCTCTGTAGAATTCTGGGGAATTTTGGCAACTGTCTAAGAGGACAGGAATGCTGGCAGCCACAACAGCATAAACTCTGGGGAAAACAGGCTGAAAGCARCTTCTCCGACTCCCAGGAGGCAAACTGGGTTTTATATACCAGCGTCTCCTACTCCTTCTCTTTTGCTGGGCTGAAAATAGAAGTAGAATATTCAACACTTAACCATGACTGAAACTAGAGAAAGCAGGAAGGCCCAACACTTAAGAGTTCCTAAAGAAACACTTGAAAGAGAAGAGCAAAACCTCTGAGTTTCCATAAATCCTATTTAAGCTGACCAGCACTTGACTCCAAATCAGTTTTTGCCCCATTAGCGTTAGTCAGCTGTAATAGACTCTGACGGTTCAATTCACATCCTKCCAGTTATTCTGCAAAATGCCTTATGCAGGCAAAATTAAGAGAAGCGAYTTAATGACAATAATGTGAGTGATGAGCACTTTTGCTTCCCATACTTGTCTGCAAGAACTGCCCTCTGTAGGTTTTAAATGGAGAAATCGGAAGGTGAATGAACGGTTCATTTACGTTCACTGTGGGTGGATGAAGGTAGTGGAAACTGGTCGAGTCACCTCGGCCYGGGCTGAGCTTTGCAGGCAACATCCCTCCTTGGCGGCAGCACCGACGGGATGTTTGCTGCCATTGCCAAGCAACTGCTTATATTTAGCTCTGCCTCACGTCGCACGAAATCGAATCTCACGTGGTCGGTTTCAAATGCTCTTCCTCTGTAAGTACCCACCTATCAGTATTTCAAGTTTAGCTTCTACCAGGCATGCAGAGCAGTGGAAAAATAAAAAGCTCTGCGCAAAGTTCTGTTCAAAAGAATAAAGTCTCCGCTTACCTAAAAATTAGTATGGTCCAATAACAAACAACAGCTCTTAATCTGACAAAAAGCTATTTTTTWATTCTATTTTTAAACAACTAGGGAGTCTTTACTTTTTGTACATCTGAAGAGTTCACCAGTGTATCTGACTGAAGGAAAAAAAAAAAGGAAAAAAAAAGTCAGCAAAGCTTTTAGTGCAACCAAGAAATACTTATTTCCTTTCCTAAAAGATGTGCAAGACTATTCAAACTACTACCAAATTTGATTTTGTACAATCTCCTAAAAGCTTCACTGAAGAAAAATCACTTTATTTGAACCAATCTGGAAAACACGGTATATAAAAAGTAGGGCAATTATTCTATTTTTCCCTTTCAGGTTGACTGCTTGAAGACAAATTAGAGATAGTCTGTGATTTATTTTAATCTTTTGAATTACTAAGTATTACTTCTGCCCTCAAATGACAGTTTTATTTAATATACTTGATAAACAAGGAAAAAATACTACCAGGTTACATTTTGATTTAAAGTCAAAAATCTTTCTCTGCTTTTCTCAGTTTCTAGTTATTTCTCTATGAACTACATAAGATATACTGCAGGGGAAGGCAGATCTTGCCAAATCCAATTTATTACTGCAACCCACTATTTCTAGTTGCATAAGTACTTTTTAGGGAAAGCTTTCTTTAAAATTTTATCATCAAGCTTATTCTATTCCAACATTTTGAGGTGACTTATTTTAACAGAAAATGACAAAACATTAACTGTGAGATAAAAGACTTAAATTTAAGCACAGTTTGGGGACTTTTCCTTG